AATGCTACTGCAACACCTCAAAATCAGAGAAAAAACACATGTCATCCCGCAGTGGCTAGCGAGAGGGACCCCCCCCCCCCCCACCAATAAAAAAAATAGAGACCATAGGGGATATTTTTGGAAAACAACAAATAAATACATAAGGTGCCCCCAATTAGTCCGACCACGCTACGCCACTGTCATCCCGCATGTCATCTTCCAAATGAGATGACAGACTGAATATCGTTCAGAACACTTTATATTCTCCAAACAAAAGGAGGATATTCTGTTCACAATAATCTATGAATTTTACAACATGTTGCGTTTGACTTTACAACATAATTTATTTAGATGTAATTCCACGATAAAATATCAATGAAAAGGGGAGAAAACAAGCTGTACCAAATTAATGAACGGTTATAAAGTAATAACATTTTTAATGAACGCTCATTGCAAACTTGAATTGCGGTACTTTTTGTGAGGGGTTTCCATATATAATTTCCTGTTTAGGGCAAATACTGTTGATCATGAATTATTTTTTTTATATTTGTTTCCATCCTGTGATGACGTGTTTCAAGACTCGCGTATTCCCAGTTTAGAACAATCTCCTACAAAGTATGAAGACAGTGGTTGTATACTGGGCGTATAATAATTATAGACGAGCCCATCTTGATTATTCTCATTTTTTGTAGTGCGTACACGGGGTCAGGCTTGTATAAGGAAGTTGGGGGGGGGGGCGGGGCGTTTAGATAATTTTGACAAATTCAACGGGAATTAGAAACATGACGGGATAAGCATGTATGTGAGTAGAACAACAACATGATCACAGAATTAAAAAACGCTCGAATCGTGCTGCGTCGTTTCTTTTATGTATACATTTACAATAATATTTCAAGGGAAATGTCAACTTGTCGTCACCATCGAAGGTCTTTATCGGGACTCGTTATGCCCTCTTTTTCTTGTTCTCCTTTTGTTTGTTTTTTCTTCTTCTTCTTCTTCTCCTCTTCCTCCTACTTTTTTCTTCTTGTTCTTTTTGTCCTCCAGCCTTCTTCTTCATTTTCCAGGCTCTTCCTCTTCTCCTTCTACTTCTCCTAATTCTTCTTCTTGTTCATTTCCACCTTCTTCTTCATCATGTTCTGACTTTTTCCTTCTTCTTTTTCTTCTTCTTTTCCTCCTCTTTTCTCCTTCTCTCAAGTTCCTTCTTCTCTTTATTCTTCATTTGCAGCCCTTGCCGAAAAATGGCATGTTCAGACAAACTCCTAAAGAGGGATAAAACTTTGTCTTGTTTGTGATTCACACAAATATATGTATTCATGACTGTATGCATCTATTTTTGTTCAAGGCGATTGAAATCTAGTTAGAAAATGAGGAAGACGGTAATTTGTTTGGGGCTATCTGCAGCCCCTCCATGCCCTCCCCTGACCGATCACAAAACGTATGTATGAGGTGAAAAGATTACGAGCCCCTTCATCCAGTAATGGTATGAATGGCACAGCGGTCGTGTGTTAGATTGTTCAGGGAGATGTCATTTATACCTGTTTTTTTCCTTGTTTTTTCAACGATGACATCTAGCGTAATGTTGAAAGTATTGTATGCCCAGGAAGACCATACACTGTCATGACTGTGTACACGAATATTGCAAGGAACGTTCATCTGGGATGGGGTGAAACCGCGAACCCTCATTGGAGTTTCGTATACGTAACCGAGCGATTCGACCATTCGCTGAAGGTCACTTCATCGAGGGTCCATGCTTGGTGAGACTAGTCTTCTATACTTTAGTCCCCTTTTGGCTGTTTCTTTATTTTTTACTCCTAATACTGCAATAAAACGCACAATATTTATCATGTGCCATGTTGATGGTTTTATACAAATGAATACAACTAGGTGAGATCGCACTAATACATGAAATAGGCCTATAATATATAATTATATAACATATCATACGAGCAAAGTGGTGAAATGGGTCTGATGACTGTACAATATATGCTACCATCTACATGTTACCTTGTTGTCTCTAAATCACTGAAGGGGCATGCTGACCATGAACTAGACTAGATGCCACATGTTCATCACCATCCCTTTTATCACTGACACCTGTACTTATATTATTATTGCATAATATTGCCGTTCGTTTTTACGCTAATTCACTGACATATCGTTATACTTTCTGACCCATCATGGATTCAGATTATGTATATACCTTCTCTTCAGACGAGGGAACCGACGTTGACGAGGCATACGATCGCCATGTGAGAGAGGTATAGTGTATACAACTTGAACTATAGGGTTGATTGCAATCATCAACGTTCATCCACTGCGCTTTAGCATCTATAATGAAATCCAATATGCTGCTTGCGCCTTTGTTGTGCCGTTTCGTTCTTATATTTTGTGTCCATGAAATAGATGTCTAATTGCTCACTAATGAATGTCATCCGATGTGACTTGACTAGATGACCAATTACAAATACTAATTTACTCTTACTTCATCCCGTTGGCGTTAGCCTGTATGTTTATGATTAGAAACCTGGCGCTGTATCATTATGTAAGAAGTTATTTATTTTTGTTATCTCGAATTGGGGAACTTAATTTTACACAGTGTTTTTTGTAGTTGGATTTGGGTTATGTATTCACTTATTTCTTCTCCGCTTAGTACTATGAGAGACTGCACTTGTCAGTGTTTATGAATGTACTGCTTTTTTATAGTTATGGTTTATATAGTTATAAAGTTTTCCCTAATTTGAAGTGGCAGACTCTCGATCGTTCAACTCCAGCTATGCATGGAGATATAATATCTCCATGAGTTACCAAACATCCTAAACGAGGATAAATGCATGGATATATAAGAAGAGATCTCCATGATAAATGCATGGTCAAGCAATTCATGTGAATTGTGATACGCATGTCTTCAATAAACTGAAAGTTGATTTTCCCCATATATTGACCGATCTTTGCCCGAGTAGAAATGTTGATGACGTTATATTTCATGAACAGCTTAGGTGCATTTTTACCTTTTTCAGTGCGAGTGTGATTACCATCTCTCTTGCATTTTTACTCTAGCATGCAGTCTATGGTCAATCAACAGAGCCGATCGAGGCAGTTCTGCCTACAAAAGTAATTTAGCAAAATAGCCTAATTGTTACCGTTGATGAGAGCGGTGGTGGGGGGGGGGGGGGGGGGGGGAGGGAGGCTGTGCAATCAGAGCACTGAGTCACGTACATAGAGTCTACATTGTCTATAGATTCAATATAGGACTTATAATTATGATATACATGACTGACATTGATATACATAATAGGTCAGATACTAGTATTTCAACAATGTGATTGCTATCGCCATCATCTGAGCTATGAAATGACCAATTCATGTACTTGACCGGTTGACCACTAATTCCAAGGAGTTTATGCCTAGAGTTTATGTTCCGCCGTTCTTGGGTAGCTAGGTAAACAATGTACAGGTCGTTCTGAGAATCGCAACTTGAGCGGAGGGAGGCTAGCGGAGCGGATCGTGTTAGTGTGTGTTTGTATTGGGTTTTTTACACACGTGTAGTGGTGTGTGCATATTAGCCTTCCTCGTCGCTGGAGAAGCAGGCTTCGGTCCCCGTTTCTTCCCTTCCATGTTTATATCGAAAAGTATTAGCAAAGCCAGTCGTTTAAAACCGTTAAAATGTCACTCTCTAAATAAATCGAGATAGTATAATTATGGCAAAAGTAGAACCAGAGTGCGAGCAACGACGATATAATCAATGAACAACAGCTGATGAACGCGAACGATAGGGAGGCAACAAAGTGTACTCTGAAATACCGTGGATCGATAATAATAATGTTCCTTGCCTGCGCATTTAGCGGCCACGAGAGGGAGGCAGAGCGGTAAATTTCAGAGCCTAAAACAATTCGAAATCTAACCGTCGGAACTCTCTCACCGGACCACGAGAGAGTTCTAATTTACCAAATATATCAATTAGTAGGCGGTTTCCCGGCAAATTTTTTATCATCATGTATTAGTCAAAACATATTCTTTCACATGATTGGTAATGAGAGCTTCCATTTCATTTTTTGAAATTGGGGCGTTACCAATACTGGTCTTTACCTTTAAATACACTCCAAGTTATAGTGAAATCCAATCCAAAAGAAGTAGTTGAATCACTTTGAACCCCCCCCCTTCCAACAGAAAAAAAAAAGGTTTCCATTGTTTCGTCGGAAGGTCGGAAGCGCAGCTATGTAGAGTAAATTCCTCTAGAAAGCCGACAGGTTGTTAAGCCCCAGTCCCATATAAAGCCGGACGAGCACGGACGAGCACGGACCACTCCGGACCATCCCGGACCATGGTCTGGGGTGATCCGGGATGGTCCGGGATGTTTTGTTCAAAAAAGTGTGATGCTTTAAAAGCTACAGTCCCATATACGTCCCGGACCGTCCCGGACCATCCCGGACCCCATCCGGGGTGATCCGGGATTCGGTCCGTGTTGACACCGTGTTGGCACCGGGGTGGTCCTGGATGGTCCTGGGCGGTCAATAACTCACTCCCGGACTGCCACGGATCAACACGGACCGCCCCGGCGCCACTACGGATGACCCCGGACCCAGCACGGTGGCTACACGGATCACCCCGGATCAAACTATTGTCCCGGACCGTCCCGGACCACCCCGGCAGTTTTTGACCGTCAAAAACATCCGGGGTCGACTCCCGGACCGCCCAGGACCATCCAGGACCGTCCAGGACCATCCAGGACCATCCAGGACCACCCCGGTGCCAACACGGTGTCAACACGGACCGAATCCCGGATCACCCCGGATGGGGTCCGGGATGGTCCGGGACGGTCCGGGACATATATGGGACTGTAGCTTAAAAGCATCACACTTTTTTGAACAAAACATCCCGGACCATCCCGGATCACCCCAGACCATGGTCCGGGATGGTCCGGAGTGGTCCGTGCTCGTCCGTGCTGGTCCGGCTTTATATGGGACTGGGGCTTTAGGAAGGTGAGGGAAATTATATTTGTAGAGTAATACCACATCTTTTACCTGACTTGCTGGGTGTCACTGGTGTTACTTTCCCGAAGCTTGGTAACCAGTACTCTGATGATGTTAAAGAGGAACAGTACGTTGGCCTAAAGGCAATGATGATAATAATAACAGTATTATCAATAGGACACTGACTTCTGTCAAGGCGTAGTAAATCATTGAAAAGGGTCCACACGTCAAAGTTATAACAGCTGCATAAAATGACTATTGATCAATAAATAAATATGATTTTGTAAATTGATCTGTATCAGCTTGTCTTACAGTATGTTACGCCAGTGTTCGAGTGGCAAATCTTTATCAATCGGACTCTGGCTTATGAATTTTCGAGCTAAACACATGTCGGAAAATTAGGGATTGAAATTTTTAAAAAATCCTGGAATAAATTCGAAAAGAAGAATCTGTTTGAACTTACCACAAGCATCAGGTTCCGAGGAATCTCGATGAAGACCCAGTACCAAATAGAATCTACGTGTCCATGCCAACATCTATATAGAAACGAAGAAAGAATTTCCCATGCAGCAAAGAAAAGAAGAACAAAAAGATTAATGAAGGTTTTAATAAATCGTATGCCCGTATTCTACTAAATTTTAAACCCGACGTTTGGTCGAATGGTTGCGAATTAGAACGCGTTTGTCCAAAACCAAGTGTTACAAAGAAAGTCAGTCTGAGGGCTAAGTTGTCCGTTCTGATTTTTAACGTGATCAGACACAGGTTAGGGATTATCAGAAGAAATATATTATGAACAAAAAGGCAGTGTTCTACGAAATTTTAAACCTGACTTGGAGCTTGAGCTTTTGTACTAAGTAAGGATTAAGATAGAAATTGAGTCTGAATTCCAAGTTTTCCTGTGTTGAACGTGATGATAGGCCCAGAGTCGTGTTGATTGGGGGAATACGGATCAAAGGTGCTTGTCTTACTAATGCAGTTAAACCCGACATAAATTCTAAAGGCATGTTATAAGCAAAGGGAATACTTAGGTATACCTCGGCTTAACTAAGAAGTACTTCTAGTGAATCATGTTTCCTAAACAGTCATAACCATTGTTATGTCACATAATACCACTAATACGAATGATAGAAATTGCAAAAGATTCGTGCAAATGAGTTCATATCATTATGAACTCATATGCATTATTATCATATACTATTATGAAAGCATAATCATATCTTTCTCCACTCGACTTACGGCTGTGTGCATCATTCTGATTAGGAGTTAAGTTTTATGAAGTGCACTGCAAACACACACAAAAAACTATAGGGGTAGGTCTTTGATAATGAACGAAGGCCTATCCCCTGAAGAGAAGCTGAAAAATTGTTTACCCAGAAAGCTTTGCGGCTGTGAGATCCATCACGATTGCCCAAGCGATCACAAACGATATTGGAATAGCTGGGGAAGAAAAGAAAAAAGAGAGAACACAAATATAAGATAACCAGATGATATATTAACAGTTTCTGGACAAGCATCCCACATTTTTGGGTCGGTTAGGTAGCTTTTGATTCAGAGGCCTAAAAATATACCAGAAGTATGAAAATATAGGGCAGAAATTCCGCATATTGTGTCGGACTCCATACATAGACAATGACAGCGAACACAATATGTTGTTGAATGTTCATATTGCGTTTGAAGCCAGGAATTTCAAAAGGAAGTTAATCCTTAAAATCCTTAAATTTGCGAAAAATTGAGAATTATTGTTGTCGATATATTATATTTGCCGTTAAACAAAAATCCGACAAAAATCCTTTCATTGTATATTGCTTTCAGAGATATCGCATGTTTTTAGAACAATGAAGCATTAAAAGAAACATTTTATTTTCAATCTTTAAACAAAAATATGTGATCGATTTAACCTACCAACAAATACCTGCCCTGAAAGTCTTATCGATATATATTTGCTGTTAAACAAATATCTTATTCTTGTATATTGCTTCCAGAGATATCGCATATTTTTAGAACAATGAAGCTTTGTAATAATTTAAACAAAATTTCATTTTCAATATTCAACAAAAAATATGTGATCGATTGAGCCTACCACCAAGAGACCTTCCCTGAAAGTCTTACATGTCTACATTAACTACACAGCACAACACTGTCCCCTTCAGTCAGCTATATTAGTAATGGTACGACATCCATGCTATTTGTTAATCTACCCAAGATGTGAAATTAGTATACCGGAGCTGCATTTTGTCGGGATATGATCATTTATTCTCAGCTTTTTAAAAAAGTAAATGTTTACATCTGATCTCTATTATTTAGTGTTCAAACGTATATATTATACTAAATAGTTTTTGAGTAAATGGTTATGAGAGAATAAAGAGGTGAAAAAGGAATGTGAGATTAGCTACGAGAAGCGAAGTACATGTAGAATGGATAGTAAGAACATACATGTAGGCATAGCCAAAGGGGATTTTTTTTTTGGGGGGGGAGGGGGGGACAAAAGAGAGCCATACATGTACCTCTTGCTTATCCGTTCAATAATCATCCAACTTTAAGGAACTTTGGGGTCAAGACCTTAATCCTACCCTTACCCCTCTCACAAGTCTGTGTGTGCATGTAACTAGATGATTCTGTGTTTTTAAAAAAAAACATCATCCCAACCCCTCCCCCGTTCCACAAGTATGGTTTAGCCAGCAAGTACGACATGAGACTGATAAGAGTACTTATATACTCAATAAGAGAGGGCTCGTGGCCCCCACCGACCTAAATAAAATCTGTGCTCTACATGACGGATCAAGTAGATGTTATAGTTTCGACCCCGAGGCTGTGTGGGCGACACGCAGTCGGGACGAGAGTCGGGGAAGGTATCAATGATCAAGTTGTGATAACACTCATCTTGTAATCATTCGTAATTGGTCTGATAGAACATTCCATATGTTACATGTCTGTCTTCTTTTTCTTATTCTTCTTCCCCTTTCTTAATCATATCAAATGCGATGCTCACGGATTTAGGCCATGAAAATATTCTTCAATGTTGCAGAAAATTAGACATTTTTTAGAGAGCAAGGAAATGGTAAGATAGAAAATGAGATCGACTATCAAACGAGGGGCAAAGATGAAATAATAGGACACACCATAGAAAGAGCTAGAAATGGAAAAAGAGAGAGAGAGAGAGAGAGAGAGAGAGAGAGAGAGAGAGAGAGAGAGAGAGAGAGGGAGTGAAGAGACTTACAGTATTAGAGCATTTTAGGTCTACGCAGTAATCGAACTATGCCAAGCGACTGCCGAACGTGCATTGGCAATAATTCTATCATCGCTTTTATATAGTGCACGCCCCACCCAAACAAAAATAAGTTTCAACAAAATCGAGGAGTGCACGTTGGCTACCCCCTATCAAAATCTCATGCTTGACCTGAATATCGATGCTGTCGAGACACACCTCGTGCAAGTACATGCAACAGAGCGCCATTCAGGGTATCACAAGATACAATAATAATGGAAAAAATGGAAATGTAGGTGACGCGATGAAAGGCTCCCGTATCATTTCATTTCATTTTTTTCCTTCATACCGATTATGACTGAATGTCTGTTTTTATGCGAATCGGCGACATAGTATGAAATAGTCACGTGACCTGGTCGGTCTCCTTTCAAGGAGGACGCCGCCAGCCCCAGGGAGACCTGTGGAAACATTGATACCCCATATTTTCTGTATCTCTTGCTTGGTGTTGTTGGAGACATTGTGTCACCGGCTGTAACCCTGCGGTACCCATGGCATTTTCATTCGCCATTATTTAGTCAGAGGACGTTATCAACGACCATGAACTAGATTACGTGTTTCATAATTAAACCGGCTTTGGCGGAAGAAAAGATGAAGATATTAACAGTGTGTCCAGAGCCAGAAAGACGTTAACTCTGTGTTTAAGTATATGAGTTAAAGCCCTTTTGGCTCCAAATGGACGTTGGAGGCGGAGAGAGTTCATTGTCAAATATTGATAACAGAAACTGAAACGTACGAAAAGATGGTGACAGGTTGAGGGAGAAGGAAAGAAGGAGAGATACACACAGACTGACTGTCACAGAGAAAGAGAGAGAGAGAGAGAGATTGAGATAGAGAGAGAGAGAGAAAGAGAGAGAGAGAGATTGAGATAGAGAGAGAAAGAGAGAGAGAGAGAGAGAATCAGTTCTATTGATAGGCTCATATAGATAGATAGAGAGAGGGATATATTAGATAGACGGACGGAGAGTCAGAGAGAGAGAGAGAGAGAGAGAGATACAAACGGAGAGAGCGAGGAGGTAGGTGGGGGTAGAGGGATAGAGACAAATAGACGGAAACAGAGAGACAGAGAGGAAAGGAAAGAGATATATAGACAACCAAAAGAAGATGAGTCGTACGAGAAAATAGAATAAGGCCGTGGGGAGTTATCAATAAAAGAGACGAAATATAATAGAGGGAGAATAAAGAAATAAACCGGTTCTTGTACAGCCACTGTATAGAGCCTACTGTTCTTGATACAATAGAAGAAAGAAGGGGAGGCGGTGGAAAGGGGGGGGGGGGTGCTTTTCTGTCTGATGATTAATGAAGAAAGTTCATGGATTCTGCATGCAGACTTGTTATACACAGCATTTCATATCAAATATTTATGTGTTTTTCAACAAACACGACGTCATCCTCAATGTTAAAGGCAATATTTTTTGTCCCAAGGTGCTTGGTAGAGACGAAAGTCTTTAAATATTCAGCTGTTTATCTTGAGATCAGGATAAAATGACGGTAAAGAAAGACTAAATATACCTTTAGCATTGTAAGAATTTTTAATGAAATAAACGAAAATAGAAGTAAGTGAAGTTGGTTAGAATAATAATCTGGTAAACGACAAAAAAAAAAACACTAGCTGGAGAAAAATCTTCAAGATGATTAATGACTAGTTCTTAAGTAACATTTTATATTATACAAAGTTTCGGAAAGCATAACTTTTTCCTTTAAAGATAACAATTAACTTAAGTTTTCAAATGCATGTAAAATCAGTAGAAACGGATATTGAAAGCAAGCCTATACTAAAGATAATGATAAAATAATAATAATTACAATATAAAGCGCATGTAGGAACGAAGTCTTAAGCGCTATACACATGAGACTATTATTATTACTATGAGCAGGGTGGGGATTTCCTTGAAAAATACTTATTATATACTGAAATATTACTAGAATAATCATTCTACAGTTACGAGTACCGCAGGTTCTCCTTATTTATTTCTTTAATTAAATCTACAATTTCCCTTTTCTCTTTTTAAAATGTTTGAAGCTTGATTGTCACTCAAATTTCATGATATGTTTTTTGCTTAGATTTAGAGAAAATCAATAAACAATTCAACTAACTTCACGACAATGTGGAAATAAATGAAACCGTCAACATACAGTACAAAGATAATGACCGGGAGGAAAATGGAAATAATACATGTAAATCTAGATTGGTTACTCTTCTTCGAAAGCAAAATTAAGAGCTTATTCGCATCTCTTTCCTGACTTGCCGACAGCAACTTCGTCAGATGTTTTTGATGGAACGGAAGTGATTGTAACCTAAGAGCTTCACAGAATCTATCAATCCAAATCCAGCCCAAGAAAATATTGGCGATTTGATTACTTCCTATCCCGGGGTCGATAGGAAAAGAAGAAAAATGGAAAGTAAATGAAAGTAAAGCAAAGAAAGCCAGGTTTTAATCCAGAGAATGTTGAAATCTGGTAAAGATGAGAAAATAATTGGCGAGCTTTCTCATTATTTGTATGTCAGTTTGGAAGCATCAGAGAATGAATTAGAGGAGATGTCACCCAAAAAGGAACATCCTTCAAATGCCCTCATGTTGGAAAGAAGGACGATTAATACCGGAAAGGTTTGGATTAGACATACATGCAGTGTACGTGGCTCCCAGCAAGATTGAGTCGAATTTTGTATCTTCACTTTAATCAATAACAAAACTCATAGTATACTATCAATTTTTATAAACTGCATGGACATTTTTTTCCTAATTGCTTCCGGACAGCTCCTTTTTCGATGTAATCTTCTGGCCTGTACTCTACTTTGTACTGCATTTATTTAATCGCGGTAAACCTTACTCTCAGTTTGAAGCTACCTTTCAGCAAGGCCGTGAAAAATATATCACCACAAAATTACAAGGAATGCGAAAAAGAACAACATAATAATTATGAACAGATGAAAACAACACAATTATGCCTTTACTTTATCATTGATCGGATTGCCGTTTCAGAATGACTTACCCCAACCGATGACGTAGAAGAGGATAAACTTCGGAGTTCCGAAGACAGCCGAAGAGAGCAATGTGTTGAGGTAGATTCCCTCGATGAACATCCAAGCGAAGGTGCATATTCTCGTGTATTCTCGGAGAACTTCGAAAGTTTTACAAAGTGGCGCCTGCGGGGATGAAAGTGTGGTATTCAAACCAACAACAAAAAAGTAAAAGAAAAAGACATAAACGGTATTTACGAATCAGCTAAACTAACTAACTAACTGTCAAACTAACAAACTGACTGATTAACTAACTAACTTGACTACTAACTAACTGACTAATGCACTGAAAAACTCACAAACTAACTGATTAACTAACTATCTACCTGACTAATTAACTAACTAACTGGCTGACAAACTAACTAACTAACTAACTAACTGAAAAACTAACAAAATAACTGATTAACTACTATCTACCTGACTAATTAACTAACTAACTAGCTGACAAATTAACTAACTGACTGACTAACTAACTAACTTACTAAATATCTAACAAAATAAATAACTAACGAGGCATTAAACCGTCAACGCTGTGATATAACATCTTTCCAAAAGCACAATGGGCTTATGAAAGGAATTATCTTGGGAAAAGCAATTGGATATATGTTGATGATCATATTACTTATCGGTGTAGAGGTATTTCACATTGTTATTTTCCGTGAGTGGGCTGTAGTGACCTTTTCTCAAGGTAAAATTGTCTTAATAATTCTACTTTACAATCATATACCTGGGGGTGGGGGGGGGGGGGTTACTGTTACTCAAAGAGCCACACCCTAAAGCAAATTGGCAACCTAAATGGTGGCGAAGGTATTACGGATTTCTTTTTCTTGTGTTCGTCCATTTTTAACAAACTTGTTAGATTCTCTCAGAAAGTAACTTTCTATATGATATGCTCTTCGGTACACAGCTTAAGAGGATTATTTTTGAATTATTGAGTGTGTTTCGTGGTGTCGGATTGTAAAAGGTCCAATTTTAGCTTGTTCTTTGTGAGGTTAGAACAAAAATTGCAGCCTGTTTTCAAAATGAACTTTTGAAAAGGACATTAATTTTGCGACAGTGACAGATTGAAGCATTGAAACTAGCGGCGAAATCGAATTACGTAGCATTATATGTTCAGATATCCGTAAGGGCGGTAAACAGATTGTTGTATAATTCTAACTTATTTACGATTTTGGCGGAAATCTTTGCAGTCTGGTTTATACTCGAACTCGAAATACAATTATGACGACTCATACGAAGGAGTTTTATTCAATGCCTACCCAGTTAT